CTTGAGCAACTTGTCTCCTCAGACGTTTGCAGACTGTTATAAAAAGAAGAGGGGATGCCACACAGTGGTAAACATGGCCTTGTCCCAACTTTTTTGAGATGTGTTGATGCCATGAAATTTAAAATCAACTTATTTTTCCCTTAAAATGATACATTTTCTCAGTTTAAACATTTGATATGTCATCTATGTTGTATTCTGAATAAAATATTGAAATTTTAAACTTCCACATCATTGCATTCTGTTTTTATTCACAATTTGTACAGTGTCCCAACTTTTTTGGAATCAGGTTTGTAGTTAATACAAATATAAAGTCTTACTTGCATCACACTTGACATTGTTCATTGTTTGCTCATAACTGGAGTCACTTAATCATGCAGATTTATGCTACAAGCTCTTTGTAGATTTGTACAGTAAGAAAGTTATTTCCAGGAAATTAACGTTCTTAGAATTGACAGACAGTTGACCCTGAGAGGTCATGTAAATATCTACAGCGGATCTAAATATTTATAATTAATTATAACTTGTTATGATTAATTATTCATATTTCCCCATGAGCTGATTCGCTACAAGGTGAATATTAAAACGCAAAAATACTATTTAAATATTATTACTGCATGTTCTGTGTGTATGAATGGCGCAGACGCGTGGTTTTATTTACTACAAAGATACTGAAGCACACGTGACACTTGTGGTGTTTTCAGCGTCTGTTTTCTCAGAAATATTGTGACAGAAATATATCACTATTGTACAGTAGATTGTTGTTTTCAAAATAATATAATATTAAAAATAACAATTATAGTAATAATAATAATAAGCATTAAAAATTATGTTTAAAGAATAATTACACAATTGTTCTTCCATGTTTTAATTGTAACCGGAATAAAAATGGAATTTGAGAAAAAACTTATTTCCTAAAAAAATTACTAATTAATTGTTAAACTGAATAGGTTTCAGGATTTCAGTTAATTGGACATGCTATTTGATTTCTAAAATGTATTTTAACCATTAAAACGTCATTTGGAAAAATTGAAACAAAAATAGGAATTTGGAAAAAAAATGTATAAAACGGATTTACTTAATTTCTTCATGAATGTTAAGTTAAATATTAAGTCGATTTTACCTGATAATGACAGGTGAGTTGTACTTAATATTAGAGCAGTCAAATTGACTTAAAATCTACTTGTGCAAATTGTTATGAGGATTTTATTTGAATTGTATAATTTCTTCTTATCAGTTCAAGATTTATTGTAAATAGGCCTGTCACGATTGGTCGATGTAATCAACTGCGCTGATAATTAGTCGACATCATTATTTTAATCGACTGATGATTTTATATTTTAAATTTCGTTTTTACGCTTCGACTAAAATAACAACTGTTGTTTCCACACCACTAATATGAGCAGTGCTTAATTTGTAAATTGCGAGGTCCCGGAATAAAGTGGGTTGACCGGTCCGGCAAGTGATTAGAGGATGGAGAGGTAACGGTGCATTCAAGCAACATTAGTGGACCAACTTAACTGATTAACTGCTTGCATCAGTTGCTTTAATAGTGTGCATGTACTCTAAAAAAATCATGGTTTTAATAAAATCATTATTTTATTTCAACCCAAACATTTTTTTGTTTTTGTGTAACCCAGCACCTGGGTTAGTCAACACCTGGACAGTCGCAACAACATAGGGGTTGTAATGAGCGCAGACTGCATCCTCTTCAGAGTAGTTCTCAGTGCCGCCGCCGACTTGCATTTTTTTGATCAAATATAGGCTTGTGGATATTTTATCTATAAAACCATTTCTTTGCTGTAAATTATTTTATTTTATCCAACGCAAACTACAGGGACGCGATGTTAGTCACCAAAACGAGTCGCATCAGTCTTTTTCGACTGATTACTTTTAAATGTTAATTTGTTTTACTTCTAAAGTGCTTGTTAAACAAGTTTAAATGTAAGAAATATTGTATGTGTTTAAACGGTGAAATAAGTTGTATTAAGAACTGTATTTAATGAAAATGTATGTACAACTTCACTTGCCTAGATGAAATCCCATTCGAAATCCATGAGATTTTCTTAGTAGAGGCAACCTTTGGATTGACTGTAGCAGATTTCTTATTCACCACCTTCCCCGTCTTCTTGGAGACTACCTTGCCTCTGCAGGTCTTTGAGCCTCTTTCTGGGTTTTGCTTTCCAATGAAGCGTCTAAGGAAAGTTGCATTACAAATTACCAAAGTATACAATAACCATTTCTCAAAATTCTGATTAATTAATTTGGTTTAGAATTTAGATTAATCTGGTAACACTTTATAATAAGTATACAGTAACAAAGCACTTATAAATCATTTGCAAATTATCTTTATCACTCTATCTCCTCTCCACCAATAAGCTGGTGTGTGGTGGGCGTTCTGACGCACTATGGCTTCCGTCGCATCATCCAGGTGGATGCTGCACACTGGTGGTGGATGAGGAGATACCCCCTGACAATGTAAAGTGCTTTGAGTGCCTAAAAAAGCGCTATATAAATGAAATGTATTATTATTATTATTATATAGATGCTGTCTCGTTTGGATTTATTGTGGATCTACACGCCTTTCTCCTATTTTCTCCCAGTGTCTGCCATGTGAATAAAACCACATTTGACAGTGTTTCAGATGATGAACTGAAATGCGGTTTTATTCACATATCAGACACTGGAAGAACACAGGAGAAAGGCTATGAGTTAACTAGTTTGCAAATTATTGACTACTTTACTACTATATACTTATTATAAAGTGTTACCATAGATTCTAAGAGAGTGAAAAAACATAAGCAAAAAGGAAAACACTTACCTTTGAAAAAATTCAAACGTGCAACAAGCCTCCTCTTGATACTGCAGGTGGAAGATGTAGTACACAGCAAACACTGTTGCAACTGCAGTCAAAAATGTTGACTGGACACACTCACAAATAACACAGCCCTCTAGGATTATCATCTATCGTACAGCATTTACCGGCTCTGCCATACCTAAAATAAATAAATAAATATAAACAATAACAATCATTTTTTCACAACTAATTTCAAAGAACTACCTTCAAGAAAATTCAATTTTAACAATCGTGTACCATAGCAATGTTTACAATTTTATATCTTAACCATTAGTAAATGTTTCTACTTCATCACATGTAATGACACACTAACCCAGCAAAATCAGACGAGGATTGGCAGGTAGATTGAGTGTCTTCTCAACATCAGATGCAGATGCAGCAACCTGTCGGGAACACACAATAAACAAATAAGCATACATAATATAATTTAGTGAAGTGGAAAGAAGAAAATTAAATACTTACGTCTGCATGCAAAACCAGTCCATCTTCATGTTCCTGGAAGTGGGACATTAACGTTAGAATCTTGACAAGCAGGTGTGCCATCTCTATGTTCTCAGCCTGGGACAGGACATGCTTCACCTTTTCTTTCAAAACACTTAAACAATTAAAAATATTATGTCTACCGCTCTCTCCTTCTCTCTCTCTCATTCACATTCACACACACACACACACACCTGTATTTGAGGATGAGGAACAAGTTAGAATGTAAGTGAATGAAGTAACGTTACCTCTGTTATATAGAGGTTTGTGCCAATTTATCCAGTGCAAAATCTGTGATTAAAATGTGCTCACATACAAAGCCCACTTAATAAACAATAAATTAGAATATATTTAGATTACACTCTAAATTGCTTTAGATACGATTTGTTAAATTGAAATCTGCGCAAAACTTCCACTATAAAGCCCTATTCGCACGGGATTAGTATTACCTGGTGACCTCCAGTCATTTGTAATAATTGCGGAGGTTGTCTATGATCTTAATACCTTGCGAATCGGCCATGTCTGTAATGTGTAAAGTAAAAATTCCCCCGCAAATGACCTACCATATTTCACCGAACACCAAGGTCCTGTGCTAATATTAGTCCTGTGCGAATTGGCATCTCTGTGATTCAGCCAGCATTTGGCGGGTCGTATATCATTTTTCGAGGTTTTTGTTTGCGGTGCACCTTTTTATCCATCTTTCGCGAAGAATGGAGCTGCATTGGAGTGTTTGATAGTATTTTGGGTGCTGCCATCATATCGCTACACCATACAATTAGCAGAAAGAGAAAGCTGAAAAGGTTTTGAGGTTAATGTGTTACAAATAAATCAAGCATAAAGCTTGATATATTATTTTAACCTGGTGAAATGTAAATGACACAGCGCACGAAACTATATTCGTTTCTTTTTTTTCCATCTGGACCATAGAACGGGACTCTCAAAGCCTTGACATCCGGGTATCCGGGAGATAAATCAGTAAATTCTAGTAAAATCACAGGCTTCACTTATCCCGTGCGAATGCACCACACGAAATTCAGATGGGGGAGGGGGGTAATTTCAAAATCACACAAGGTCCCCAGATAATACTAATCCCGTGCGAATAGGGTTTAAGACAAATGCGTCACTCCGAAAAAGCAAACGTTTCTCCCCATCCCCCAAGTCAAGTCAAGAGCTCATGCAAAAGGCGGTAAGTTTATATGCTTCCTTAGTAAAATTAAGTTTACACGCCTATTTTCGAAAACCGTCACTGGTCAATCGTGGCTTAGCAACCGTAACTAGGCGCGGGAGGTCTGGCAAGCTTTCGAGCGGGAAACATGCCGAAATTTTCCCTTCCCGAAACCTAAAACCCAAGGGGAGAAATGCCGGGCGTGGATCAAGCAATGTGGGAGACCCCATTCACAACTAAATGTTGTCAGGATTAACAAAAACACCTACGTTTGCTCCAAGGAAAGAACACGCTAATGTTAGCTAGCTAACTCAGCACAGCATTGCTTGGAAATAATGACGGTTTTGTTAATAATGCATATATTTGAACGTAAAATAAGATGATTAAAGGCAAGACGGAGGCTGACTGACATACTTTAAAATATATTTCAGCATTTTGCTAATCGACGGCCTTCTAATCCGATCGCGGCTCTCCCGGGGTTAGTTCTGAGGAGGGAACATCCGGAGATCTCCAAGGAAAAGGTTGGTATGCAAACTTAATCAGTTAATTAACAGTAGTCATTTATGTGCTGTCATACCCGTTTACTATCGTGTAGACTTTATTTGGGCAGCGAGATTTATTACAGAACACAGCATGCTTTCATGCTTTATACAAAGTGCATTTTATTTGTTTCTGGTAAGAAACCAATACAGGATCAAAACCCCAACAAAACAACAGTGTAATAAAATTTAAGTTAAGTTATTAGAAGGGTCTGTTAAACTTTAATGATCTCATGAAGACAACTAAACAATTGTTAAACTGATTGTTTACTGAATCATGTGTGACAGGAAGCCAGCACCTCAAACTCCACTGAGGACACATTTCACAGTACATCACAACAGAGTGACTCTACCTATGGTAAGTTTAAACTGCTATTTGTATCTGTTTTTAGTTACTGATTGCACATGTTTTTTTTCATGCAGCACTGCACAGAAATGTGACGGCTGTTTTGGCAGAGGGAAATCCGGGAAGTCGTTTGACGGCTGGTTCACAGATGATGGTCCTACAGAATCAAGGAGAGGAAGCTGTAAAACAGAAGAAAATAACATAAATTAGTAACATTCCATGTCTCCTTTCTCTTTTTTGTCATTTACAGAAGAACATGATATGGGCGACCATGGAGAGGAACTGAGAACTCTGCAGGGACGCATAGCCAATCA